ACACACACACACACACATGTAGAGCTTGTGTTTCATAAGCCTGGGACCAAGCCATCTGTCTGGAACTAATCTTTGTATGTATTTCCATGTAGAGTGAAGAGCAGCAGGACAGACGAGAGGCAGCGAGAAGGTACATCCCGCGACAGAGAGAGAGTCTAAAGCAGACGTTGGAGGACTACGTGGTTTTGCCTTGGCCCCCTGATCTCCCATGATGCCCCAGAGCATGGCTGTGTTTAGAGGACAGAGTAAGATCTCCAGCTTCCAGTTGCTGACTCAGTATGAATGACCATACAAGGCATCAGGATTTACTTCAGATCACGTAGAAAAGAAGATTACCGGAGCTAGACCCCTTTTTGATTTCCTTCTTCTATCTGTGCATTTCTTTCTGTCTGTCAGCAGTTTAGATTCTTTTTCTGCCCTCTCTTCCTCAGTTTTTGTCTGTTTCTCTTATCTTTACTTTTTGCCTCTCTCCCTCTCTCTACTCTTTTTCTCTCCCTTAATCTTCCCCCTTTTTTCTTTTTCTGGCTACTTCTCATTCCTTCTTTCCTTCCTCCTTCCTTTCTTTTCCTCTCAGCACACAAATAGAGAGGGTACTCCAATAGACCTCCCTCAGATCTCCTGTCCCTCCACTCCTCCCCTCCGCCTCCCTCTCCTCTTCCCTCCCTCGCTCATTCCTCCTTTTCTCAGCCGGCCCCAGATAAGAAGGGGGCAGAAGTGTTTCTCTTCGGCCACTTCTGAAACTGGAGCCACCAGAGAAGGATGAGAGACAAGAAAGACTCTATTTTTTCTCTTTTCTTTTAATCCTGGATATTTGAGGGTAGAGAAGTCCATTTGAGTCATCCTTCATTCAAATGCAACTTTAAATCTTCTCTTTTTCTGATATTCTTACCTTGCATTTAGATGTTTTTTTCATTCTCCCAGTGAGATTGGACATTCACTATTGCCCATCCTTGGTCACACTTTTTTTCTTTTTTCATCCCTGTCTACCCACTTGGCTTTCACTCTATCCATATTTGATCCTGAGTGGATCTGGACCTGCACCTGGTGCATTAAGGACAGGAGAGCATTTAAGAACTATGAGAGACCTGCCCAGAGTCAAGCCAATTGACCCATCTTGAATAATCTTCATTAGCAAGACGACCTGAGAACGAAAGAAGGAAAAGAAAGAAGAAAGCGGATGCATCCCACATATTGACCAACTCATCTGATGAACATTTTCACCAATGTGAGACCACAGAACAGGTGCTGTTCCTGCATTTAAATAAAGTGTGATCCATAAGAGAAGTTATTTCCTGAAGTTCATGAGAACCACTTGAAGGGACTTGAATCAGACCTCATGGATTGACTGGTAGGTGCAGAAACTCATGCATGACTTGTGTTGCATCCTGAACACAGATGTTTTCATAAAGTGAATTGGGGTCAAAGCGTGAACAAGCTTCACCCTCTTGGCACTGAAAGAGAACACTTTGATACAGTTGAAGAGATCGTCATGAAAGGCTTAAATCTTAGCTGGGGGTTGCTGGTGCTTCTGCTGCTCTGGACCTTGTCAGTCATCGCTGATGCTGCTGGCGTTGCGGGCGCAGAACGAGGAGGAGCTGGAAGAAGCCAGAGAAGAGGAGGAGGAGGTGGTGGCGGCGGCGGTGGTGCGGATAAGAAAAGGAGGTTTCACCGCATCCAACATGGACAGTGCAGCTACACCTTCATCCTGCCGGAGCTGGATGGGTGCCAAGGAGGATTGCTGTCACAGCCTGAACAATATGGTGGCTCTCGCGGCGGGGCAAGTGTCCTGCAGAGAGACTCGGCGCGAGTCGACAGTGAATGGTCAGCTCAGAAACTGCAGCACCTGGAGAGCACAATGGAGAACAACACACAGTGGTTGCAGAAGGTAAAAGATAAACTGCCTTCTTCTCTTTTTCCTTTGTTTGGAGACCGTAGACCTTTTGTAGTTCATGTGTAGAACAATACAAGAAGGTTGACAATTAAATGTGAAATTAACCATGTGCTGAGGCTGAACATGAAACGAGTGAATGGCAGAGTGTATTGGAGTATTGATATGGTGTTGACTCCATGTCAGAAAAGTTTAAGAATGACAACGTTTCGATCCAAGTTGTATCTGGTAAGATCCAATACGATCAAAACTTCTGTGGCATAGAGGAAGTGTGCAGACTTTACAGTTTCTTCACTGATGTTTGCTGACAGTCTTACAGTGTTCAACCTGTGTAATTACTTTCATACACGTGTGTTATCACATTCTGTTGATGGATGCTCTGTCCTGGTTCATTTAACACATCAATAGACCTGGAGAAACAAAACAATGAGAAAATCTGTGTTGTATGTGACTCCTTCAGCAGAAATGTCATTTGCGTCCGCTGCTGTGTGTGCAGTCAAGTTGTAAAAGTTGTTATTTTAGATTGTAACAAGCTCAATTTTCTTGCTTGGTGAGCTGCAGGATAGAGATCAAAGTTTTGGGTTATGACTCTAGATGAGTGGCAGCTGCTTTCAATCAGGAGAAAAGCAGTGAGTGATTTCCCTCCTGTTGTCCTAACAAACTATAATTCCTCCATATGTGGTTTCACTGGAGCTGTGACTGCACGGAGCGTAATGATGAGAGCCATTGTAAAACCTTGTTTCCCCCATTACCTCGCCTCCATCCTGCAGAAGTACTGCAGAACATTCCTGCTGTACAAAGTAATTAACATGTTGCCATGAAAAACTAACCACTAAATCCTAGCCATTAAAACTTACTTATTATTAGTAAACTGATGTCTGACGAAGGTCTGGGTGAGAGTTTCTAATTGATAGTGAGTTATACAACGTTCCTCAAGGATTTTACACTCCCTCCGGTTGTTTGTGCCTTAACATTTTACCTGCTTACAACTACCTTTTGTGACATTGTGCCCGTTCCTTCAGTATTTTTCCCCATTTTCCTCCAATTTAAAATGCTTTGGGGTGCTCTGTACTTCTTGTCACTGTTGTACTGTGAAGACTGTCAGACAGACATGTGACACATGATATCACCAGCCACTTCTTTTAATGCATGCAAGGTTCATGGTGGTCATCCAGGACCTTTATTGTGCAAGAGCCTAGACCAACCAGTCATCATAGTAAATCTGTACTTGTAAAGCAACTTTTATTTAGAAAGAAGGTTGTTTAGTAAATTATTTTCTAATAAATATCGCAACTTCTGATCAACTCATTCTGGTAAATTGGACCCACCTCCAATTTAAGCCCCACCCACTCTGCTCTGAGTAAAGATACAGATAATTGAGTTGCTATACAGATAAGGGTGCACTCACTTATCCCTACTTCCCACCCACAAACACCTATCATGTACATTGGAAAGCACAACAGCCTTTAAACTACCCACAACATTATCAATTTGTGCGCAAGCCTGACTGTTTGACAATATAGCGCAGCTTCATTCTTTTTGAGCGAGCGGTGAGCGATTTTTAGTGGAGCGGGTTGAAATAGCGACATTGAGCATTGAACAGGGGAGAGGAGTAAACAAACAGCTCTGTGAGCGAGGAGCTGAAATTCTCACCAATACAGTGTTAATTAAAACAAACACAAAGCACAGCTGAGGCTGATGGGAATGTCATTAGTTTTTTAAGCCATAACCCTGTATTTGACAAAGTTCTGACCCAATGGTGGTGCTAGATAGAAAGTGAAGCCTTTCATACATGTATCTACAAAATGTTGGCCCAATCCATCTTGTAGAGATATTTTACTGGATGAGTGAAAAATTATAATGTATATCAAAACATTTTCAATGGTATATTTTCACAGTAACAGTTTAACAGTTGTCAGATATTTCAGTCTGGACCAAAGGGGTGGACCAACAGACAGACCAACGCTTATACAATATTACAGCTAAAAGTAGTACAGCACGATTTTTCCAAGATATAATTAAACAAGTTAACAGAAAGGCTATGACAAGATCTGTGTTATATCATCATCACTGTGATGAAGAGTCATTCTTAGTGAAACCACATTTCTTGTACATATTATAAATCCATATAAGTGCAAAAACAATCATTTTCTGGGCTGTTATTGGTCTTAACTCAGACTGAATAAACACGGACCAGTCATATGAGAGACACATTATGTGTGTGCTGCAGTGGCGGTCAAAGATAGATTTACAAGGATTAATACAGTAGCCTCCATATACTATCAGGACCACACAGTGACTTCCTGGGCTTTGCAGTTGCTGCAGTACCTCTGTCATCTCCTGACAGTTAAACCATCAGACTCCTGCTGATGTGCACCATGAAGTGATTTGGGTGCAGCAGGTGATGTTGATCCATGAAATCAGTTAGCGAAAGAAAACATTTTTGAAAGGACTGTGAGTGCGGGGAGTCCCCATTCATCATAATTAGAATAATTTAAATGTTACAGAAGAATGACAGCCACTGCCGCATGAATAATGCTTCTGTTTTAGGAGTCAGTTCCTGTATGAATCATAATTCTTACACCAGGAATGCTGAGTGACCAGCAGATTTATTTAGCTTTCTAAATGTTGGGTGTACTTATCACAGCCTTCCAAATGTTGTCACGTACAGTGGATGATGTTTAGAAAAGAAAAAGCATCCTGAAAAGTTGAAAATGTTGTATTTAGTTCCTTTTTGACTAAGAAGTTGCAGGAACTACGGAACCAGAGGAACTAATTTCAGGAACTACAGTAGGAGAAAAAACAATTGAAGTGAAGATTAGGCAAATTAGACCCATTGTAAGTTAAACAGAACAGTTGGAATTGCAATTGTTATTTTTTGTATTTACTGTTGCTTGATTGTAATGTTTGAGTTTGATGTAATGAATGAATGAAACAGAGATATGCAGGCAAGGAAAAAGTAGACCAGATAGACCATCTCCAGATGATCAGCTGAGGGTTTAATGGTTATTTATTTCTGCTTTAGAGCGTAACTGCCATGAAACAACTATTATTTCTCAACTTTACTCACTTTGTTCTCTCTGCTTCCTCTCTCTCTGTCTCTCAAGCTAAACACAATATCTAACTTTGTTCTTGACGTCAATAAACTATGAGGAGGATGAATGAGGTGATATACATGTTTGAGCTTCTGTGACTCTTTGGAAAGTACTACCCTCAGAGGAGAGACCTTTTTAGCACCCGAAACTATCAGAAACTAAATTTAGTCCCTGGTTCTTCTGGTTGCAGGTTTTGTTCTTTAGTTGCTCTAAAGGTTCTTGGTCCACTGGGAGAGGTCTTGCGGTGGAAACACTGTATTTAGTTTCTATTGTTAGCTAATGCACCACAAATTAAACTGACGTGAGGCAGTGTAGTCAGTGTAGTGGAAAGAGTACTGCAGTCCTATTTATAAGCTCATCTCTAGACTTTGTCAAGTGAAGATAAAATGATTGTTGCTCTTTTGAAGACAAATGTGCTGTGTAGTTGGTATCTCCTTGAGTTTCAGTACAATCCCTCTCTCATTTGGTGGCAATTTATTCTTTAACTCAACCCTTTTAAGGAATAGAGTAAAAAAGTCAAAACCTTCCATAATGCATTATAGCTGTGATCACAGTACTCTGTAATTCATGGCTTCCTAAAATTGTTCAGTTCATGTACAAACCAAAGTTCTAGATGAACCTCTTCATCTAATAAAGCTTTATTTCACCTTGATGCTACTGGTACAGAAATAACCTGTCAACATTATAAATTTGAGCTTTGGGTAAAAATAGTAGCAGTATTACAGATGTTTTAATGTACTCAAAAAGTGCATGTCATCAGAAAGATACTATGAAAATGATGGACGGAAGATGAATTGGCCGCATAGAACAAAATACTAAACTCATCTCTACATTCACACTGTAAACGGTTGGTTTTCAAATGAATTCATGTATGTTAGTCTAGTTATTGCTGAGAGTGTGATTGCTATTTTACTCTTAAACGCTGCATACAGTATCAAACTCTACAACTCTGCAGCTTGAAGAAATAAAAATTAAGATCAAATCAAATCCGATCTCCATGTTTTAACAGTTTGATGCGCTGTAGCTCAGATTGTGATTGATAGATTGGTTTAGATACATTCCAGTTTAAATGGAGCGAGTAAGTTTCATTATTTCTGCTGCCCACCAGAGTTGATTTCTTTCTTCTGCTCTGTGACCGAGAATCTGAAGGAGGGATTGAATTACTTACTAGAAAGATTTTAATCTGCAGAGAGTGTAAACTCAGAGTGGTGCTTCACTGGATTACACCACCGGGTGTTTTTACCAAGCCTGTATGTGTGTGAGTGTGTATATGAGAGATTAATGTGTGTGTGTGCTGCTGTGTTTACCACCCACACTGTTAAACCTCAGAGGAGACGCGGGTCAAGTCCAGAGCTGAGGTCTGCAGCACCCCGACAGGAGACAGAGAGCTGACCTTTCACCTCCAGACTTTAGTCGAAGTCAGCTGTCAAATCTAATCGCTCCCTGACTCCGAAACATCAGTGCACACGTTTGTTACCATCCCCTCATCAGAGCTTTAATTCAATTCAGATAAAAGATAACTACGTCTCCTCTTTCCTTCTTTGCTTTGCTGTCTTTGTCTCAGTTTCTCTGTTCCTCCCTTTTTCTTTCTTCTTTTAACCTCTTTTCTCTTTTCTCTTCCTCCTCCCTGCTGAAAATCAAAGCACCACAGCTTCAGAGAGTTTAAGGTGTTTTTCGGGTTGTAAAGTAAGTAAGTAAATTAAATTCCTCATAAAATTCTCCTTGTGGGAGCAGAGAGATATTGTTCTAGTGTGACATTGAGGCTCTGTCCAGATTAAATGAGGATTGGTTGTGTAATTTGGTTCCATAGGCTCAGAATGTCCTTCATGTTGCTGAGATAAATTCAAACTCAAAAAAAGTTTTCATTTTCTTGTTTCAGTAAAGTAAATGTCTAACTGAGAT